ATATATATATATATATATATATAAACTGTCACTCTCCACATTTATAACTGTGAAAACAGTTTTCAAATTTTGACACGGTACAACTAAGAACATAAATATCTTTCTTTGAAATTTTATGTTGTAAAGTGGAAAGAAAATTATACATGATTTGAAGGTTTGTAATTTTTTTATAAATTGAAAACTATTTTGAGCACAAATGTTCAGCCCCCTTAAATCAGAGAGTAACTTCTAGTCTTCATAAGTTTCCTGATGATTGCTAATGGCATAATAGTCAGCCTGTGTGTCATCTAATCACAGAAACCAACTATTTTCACCGACCTGAGGCTGTCACTAGCTGCTGTATTTGTATTTGACATTAGTTTACACACGGGTGGACTCCATAGCCATTTGTAATCATTAAAGCTATTTCTGAAGGAATATTGGTTACAGAAAAGGGAGCCGATTACTCTTACACACCACACTTTTCAGTATCATTTGTAAATACAGTACTACTAGTACTAGTACTACTACTACTACTACTACTAATAATAATAATAATAATAATAATAATAATAATAATAATAATAATAATAATGTGTTACATTATGTATAATTTCATTTCCACTAGTAAGTGTGTACTTGTGTTGGTCTCTCAAAGAACATTACAATGAAATTGTTTTTGGTTGTAATGTGACAAAATATACAATGACTCAAAGCGTATTAATTTTTTTCAGAGGCATAACGTAATATTTAGATTTTACAACTCTGACCTGGTGTAAAATCTGATGTCTTCTGGTGACGTAGAAAAACGTTCCAGTCCAAACGGCTTTTGAAGACTACAGGATCGGAGCTGCTCTTTCAGTTGCTCAATTTCTCTCAGCATGCTGTGATATTGCTCCCGGTCAACACACACGGTTCTGCTGGCGCCGTAGTCATGGTCCACGACCATAGGTACCATGACGGGTGGTTCATTGTCCTCAATTGGATCCGCCGAATCAGGTTCTGGATTAGATGGTCGACAACGGCGCTCCCAAACACCTGCTCGTGTCTTCCTGCTGTATTTGTTCCACTCAAATAATGATGGAACGGACCCAGCTGCTAAAATTCGTCTTCCCTTTTCTGTAGTAATTACTTCATTCTCCAGGAAATGTCGGCTACATACCTTGGTGTGAGGAGTTACCGTAAATCCCTCTCTTCTGATTTTTTGCAGCCAGCACAAACGAAGGCTTGTCTCCTTAGGGAAACGGTGAAAGCTCAAACGGCTATTATAGCGACCTGAAGACGAGCAAAGCGGCACACAACAGTGCTCCTTAGACCCAAACACCGTCGGCTGAAATCTAAAGCTGCCACGCACGTTATATTTTTGTTTATTTGACGCAGCAACACTCATTTTAGTTGTTTATCTCTGGGATGACAGGATACAGGAATTAAACCGGAAACTGGAATGCCGACATCCGGTCAAAGCGGAAGTGATTCAGGACGCATGTGCACAGAGCCTATTAGGCTGAAAAAAGTTGAAATGAGTGCAAAAACAAGTGGAATTAGCTGAAAAATCCTTAATTAGCATAAAACAGCTAAATAGTAGCTGAAATAGCAGAAAAAGCTGAAACGCAGAAATAAGCTGAAAGGAACATAACAAGCTGAAATTAGCAGAAAGAAGTTAGAAGGATCACAAAAATGTAAAAAGAACCTGAAAGGAACACAAAACATCTGAAAAAAAAAACAGCTGAAATTAGCTGAAAAAAGACTAAATTTGCATGAGGAAGCTGAAAGAAGCTGAAGCAAAACAAAATGTGAAAGGAGCAGTAAAAGGTTGTAAACACATCTAACAATATGACGGATGTAAAATGAGCTCAATTCATTTTCTATGAGGACAAAAAGTGGCAGAAAAGGCTAAATAGTTCAAAAAGCTAAAGTTGCACCAGTACCAACAGTCACAGCATCTTTCTCCCGAACAAGCTGAACATTTTGATAGATGATTTGTTGAAATAGCACAAAATGTGTGGAACAAGAAAAATGCCAAAAAACGTTCGGAAGAAAACTGGATCACAATAGTGTGAATGATTTATAAACATTCACACTATTATTAATACCTGAATTATTCTGATGATCTCTCGCGCTCCAAGCACCTCTGGGTTGAACTGGATGTGGGCTTTTTTGGTTGCCAAGGCGATGGACGCTGAAAGGATTCCTTTAGTTGTGGTGAGCTTGGTCTCGATGTTGTGCACACAGGACGCGCACGTCATGCCTGACACCAACAGGTTCAGCTCTCCTCGCGTCACTGCGTTATCCTCCATCAGTTTAGCACCAAAGCCTAAATCCTGGATGAGCTGAGTGACAGCAGCAGCGTTCAGGACCGCCGGGTCGTACTTCACCTCTGCTTTCCCAGCCATCAGTGACACCAACACCGAGGTGACTCCTGCACGTTGAAGCCACATCGCGGGTCAGTCGGTAAGTAACAGTCAAGAAGACCGGAGCTGCTTCCCTAACACTCACCCTTGTGTTTGAGCATGTGTCTCTCGATGTTGGCCACGCAGGAGGCGCAGGTCATCCCCGTCACACTAATAAAACATTTCTGGACTTTGGCTTCAGGAGAGTTGAGGCGGCAGCCTGCAGAGGTTACCTGTGATCCAGAACCGTTGCTGGTTACAGCTCTGCTGGACGACGGCGGGTCGGGAGGTTTGTGGTTTTCCTGACTCTGGATGCTCGGATCAGACTCTGACAGGGGAAGGAACAAAGTGCATCTAAACCACCACAGAGCTTAAAAACTAAATGCGTACCTGAAGCAGTATTTATTTTACCTGGATATATTTATATCCCGCCAAAGCTGATCACGTTAACCTTCAGAGTCAAACCAGTTTAAGATGGCCACCACAGCTGTGTGACCAACAAAGCAATGGCTGTAACTGAGTTTTATTTACAGGTATTGTTCTTACTGTGTGGTAGTACAACGCCGTCCTTTCTCATCAAAACTTGTTCTTAGTCTAAAACTCTGGGGAGAAAGGCAGCGGGTGATAGGCCTTTATTTTGAAAGAGTTACAAGTGGTACGCCACTGAGGGATCTGAATAGTGGATTTCAGTGTTTCCCCTACAATTATCCAAGGAGGGAGCCCCGCCCTGTCAACAGAACCGAGCGCCCTGCCTACCAAACTGTTCCCCCGGTCGACAACTGATGGAACTACAGCTGTAGTGCTATGGTAACAGTGCAATACAGATGTGTTAGCTAAAAAGCTACAGAGGTAGCACTCTACTTCCCTCATGCTGAGGTTTCCTTCAACACCCCCACCCCCCCAACAGGGCTTAATTTGTAAACAGATTGATGCTGGAACACAAATGGCAGGTGGGCCAGCTGGGGGTCCTACCCCAAAAATGTTTTAATAAAGTAGATAAAATGTTCTGCATTTTGGTGTATTTTAGCGGGTTGTTAAACATTACGTTTACGTACATTTGTAAACACTCCGCTTCTGTCAATCCTACCCCACCTTCCCCTTACTTGATGGAAGAGCTGTCATTTCTAACCCAAACCCGGAGCCCCGGCCCCACCCGACCTGGATTCGGACCGGGCCGGGACATTATAATGTGCGGGTTGGGTCGGTGTCTGGCTTTTTATTGCGTCAGGCAAGTGCGCCGCCGCCGATTCAATTATATGCAAACATGGCTTGCCATACTATCACCAGACGCACGCGGCCATTTCACCGTGCGCTGACCCTCTGGTTGAAAGAGGCAAAAAGTTCAGTTAAGCTTCAGATGGACTACTGTCAGAGATCCATCAGCCCAAATGGACGTTCATTCAGCCGCTGCACTCAGCGGACACGCGCGGCCGACGACCCAAACAGGTGAGATCACAAAATATCCAACATGTCCGAGCAGGATGCAGGCAGAAGCAGGGGAAGCACTTTGATGGCTCCTCGGCTCCAATCATTTGCCCCCTTTACTCAGCCGCGCATCCGCCAACAGTTAATAAGAGTCAGTGGTGTAAGCAGTCAAAGCTTAATTTAAACTTTCTGGGGTTTTCAGGTTCAGACCAGTAATTACTTTTAATTCGTCGGATCGGGTGTGGTTGGGAGATGATGGCTGTGGGCTGGGTCGGGTCAGATTTTTTTTAATCCGAGTGCAACTCTACTTGACAGTTCCGAGCCGACTCTTCTCCGCTGAATTCACTGTCCAACTCCACATGAGAAACGTCCAGGCGTCTCCACCGTCTGTTCAGGCGGCTGCCTGGTTAGCTCGGCACTCACCCCCACCACTTTCAGGAGCGGAAGTTTTTTTAAGTGTAGAGGTGGAAATGCTTACTTGAAGCTTGTATGTGATATTAAGAAGCTCGTAAGTGGTTGTTGTGTTTAAAATGAGTGTTTATGTAAATATTTTCAGTTTACATATCCAATAGGTTTTATTTGTTCAAGACAGTCATATTTGTTCATAATTTTATTTTTAGTAAGCCTGAGAGTTACCGGATCCAAGCAAACAGTTACTGGAACTTACCCTATCAAAATAAGAGTTCCCGGATCTTGTTCCGGCAGGATCCAGCTCAAATTAAGCACTGTCCCCACTCCACCCCACCCCTAACAACCATCTTGTATATAAATAAAAACACACAACAATTAAAGTTGAAATGACAACTAAATTAAGTTAAAACCATTTTGGTTGAACTTTTTTTAAATGATGTGTGCAATTCTCACGTGATATTACAAGATCCGTTAGTGCTCGTAGTACGTGATGAGGAGGGATCTCAGCTACTACCACACCAAATTTTAGCTCAATATCTGTAACACTGGCTGAATTAGAGGCACTTTGGGGGGGGTTCTCAGATCAAGTGGTTGTGGCGGCCATCTTGAACTGAGTTGACTCCAAACGTTTATCAGTTGTAATTAAATTTGTCTACTAAGTTCAAGAGATATTTTGCTAACAAACAGGGTTAATAGTAAATGTTTACAAACGGATCTTGTGTGATCAGTTAGCTCTTGAAGTATAGGGTGGGGATTATGCTCAGCTACTACCACACTAAACTTTAGCTCAGTAGCCATTTGTGCTTCCTAAGGTCCAATAGCTGATCAGATGTTTTTATTGATCGCACATAGAAACACTGAGCTCACCTTCATGTCTCGTACCTTTAAGCGATGCGTCGAAGCCCATTTCCTCGATAAGAGCTCGAAGCTGCTCCGGTTCTGTCAGGCTGGGGTCAAAGTTTATTTCTCCTTTTTTCTCCTTCAGTGACACGGTTATGGACTTCACCCCGATGACCTCAGAGATCCTGCCTTCTATGGACTGAACACAAGAACTACAGGTCATCCCTCCGATCCAAACAGTGACCGTCCGGATGGGCTCGTATAAAAAGTCCCCCTGCCAGCAGCTTAAATCCCCCCCGGCGGCGTCCTCAGGTGATAAAGCAGCATCGAACCCCATGTCCTGGATCTTGTCTTTCAGTTCCTGTTGCGTAATAATTAACGGTTGGTGTACGATCACGGCTACACCGTCCTGAAGAGACACCTGGATCTGTGAGACCCCTGGTAAACCTCCGATCCGACCCTCGATGGACTGCACGCAGGACTGGCAGCGCATGCCGTCCACCTTGACCCGCGCTGCCGCTTCAACGCTGCACCGAAGGGTCCGCAGCTGCAGGGCGATCTCCGTGTCTGTAGTGGCCGAGGCGTCATAGTCCACCTGCAGCAAACCCTCAGGCACGGACCAGACGACGGCCAGAACTCCATTCAGGCGGCTGAGCGTGGCTTCCACAGCTCGGGGCTCGGCGGCGAGTCTCCGGAGCCTGAAAGTGGTTCTGGAGGGAGGTTTGGGCGGCGGGTGGAGCTCACTCTGGCTGCCGTACTCGTAGGCCAAGTTATCGAAGCCTCGCTGCTCAACGTCAGGACGGTTCCTCTGGAGAAATAAGAGCGTCAGGTGTCAACATTTATCATCTTCATGGGACTAAGTCAACCAGTCAGCAACTGAGATTTATCCATGAGAATAAAATCCTTTTATAAGTAAATTAAAATTAATATGGGAAGTTGCATTATTGGAAATTTGTAATATAAAATCTCAGACTTCTGTCAACATATCTGAAGATTTACATCCACTTCTCGTGGCTGATGAAAATAATCTCATAAGTGCAAACTTTTTATAAACTTTTTATGTATTAATAAAGTGAACATTTCTGATTTCACGCAATTATTTTTTATTTCAAAATATCCCAAATATAAGAATAATAAATCACATCCTATTTAGGAATAAACAACTTTTCCAGAATTAAATCTTGGTAGGTTTTTAACTTTTTCCAGAAACACTAAGCACTAAATAACATCATAACTAGAGAAATTGTATTTCCTGTGAAAATGCAGTGTGAATGCTTATTGCTGAAATTAGCTAAAACGTGCTGAATTGTAGCTGAAATAAAACAACAAGCTTCAATTAACAGAAGAAAGCAGAAAAAAACACATTTGATGAATTAGGTTTAAATAAATGGAAATGAGCACAAAAAGTAGGAAATTAGCTTAAAAAAGCTGAAATTAGCAAAAAAGAATATAGCTGAAACGTAGCTGAAAAGGCAGAAAGAAGCTTAAGCTACCAGAAGGAAGTGGAAAGAGCTGAAATGAGCTCAAAAATATGGAATTGGCTGAAGAAGCTAAAATTTGGATAAAAACAGCTAAATAGTAGCTGAAATTTAAAAAATGCTGAAACTAGCTGAAAAAGCTGAAAACTAGCCTAACAAGCTGAAATGAGCAGAATTAAGTTAATTAGGTTGAGAGTAGCAGGAATTACCCAGAAAAACTTGAATTTATCTGAAAACAGCTGAAATTAGCTAAAAATTTTCAAAAAACGTAGCTGAAAAGTAGAACAAGCTTAAATTAGCAGAAGAAATCAGAAAGAACATGTTTGCTCAATTGGGCTGAAAGAAGCAGAAATTAGCACAAAAAGTAGAAATTATCTGAAAAAGCAGAAATGAGCGCTGAAAAGTAGCTAAATACACAGAAAGAAGCTGAAATTACATGAGGTAACTGGAGAGAGCATGGTTTGCTGAATTAGGCTGAAAAGTTTGGAATGAGCTGAAAAAGCTTAAATTAGCATAAAAACAGTTTTATAGTAGCTGAAATAGAAAAAAGCTGAAACTTTCAGAAATAAGCTGAAAGGAGCATAACAGGCTGAAATTAGAAAGAAGTTAGAAGAAGCACAAAAATGTTTTAGTTGGCAGAAAGATACTGAACGGAGCACAAAACAGCTGAAAAAAAGAAACGCTGAAATAAGCTGAAAATAGATTTTTTTTTTTTTTTTTGCACAAGGAAGCTGAAAGAAGCTGAAGCAGAACAAAATGTGAAAGGAGCAGTAAAAGGTTGTAAACAGATGACAAAGTTCATGCTCAATTATCCAGGTACCAAATGTTTCCAGTTTACAGGAACTCCTCTTACTGATGAAGCCCTCCGGATAGAGGGCGAAACGTCTCTATAAAAAAGAAACTGTCCAGATGACCCGACTGAGAATAATTGGTTTGTAAACAGATCTAAAGATTTGAAGGTTGTAAAATGAGCTCAATTCATTTTCTATGAGAAAAAGAAGTGGCAGAAAAGGCTAAATATTTCAAAAAGCTAAAGTTGCACTAATACCAAAAGTCACAGCAGGATTGTCCCTAAAGAGCTGAACATTTTGATTTATGATTTGTTGAAATAGTTTGAAGACTGCGGGACGAGAAACGTGCTGAAAAACGTACAGAAGAAAAATGGATCACAATAGTGTGAATGTTTCATAAACGTTCACACTATTAAAATTTCTTTATCATTTCTCTTCATGCCAAAATGATTTTAGAATTACAAAGTAATTTTCGTAGATTTATGATTTAAAATTCTCCGAAGAAAAATATGTGACTTAATATTATTTCGGTGTTTTTAAGCCATTTTCATAAGTTTCGTTTTAACAATATGAGAACATGTAATTATGAAAAATAATCCAAGCTTTCTTTTATTATGAAAGTGCTTCTATCTCAATTCTAGATGTCAGGACACGTCACATTAGATATTAAATCGTTTACATTTTAATATATGAAAAATTAAGAGTATGGCTGCGATATCATAAAATTATAATGTAATTTATGAAAAAATATCACAAATCCACAACTTTAAGTTTAGTTTTAGTACAATTGTTATACATGCATAAAATATGAAATCATATTCTCACCTTTTGTTAATTAAAACATTTGTTTGAGTTAGGAATTACTTTTTTATCCCCTCTAAAAATATGTATTCACAATATCTTCACAGGTCCTAAATTATCTTCAAATTTACGCTACTACATCCATTTTAACTCATTTAGTAAAAAACAAGAGTGTCTACTTTACATGGTCTTGCTTTGAATATTTCCTACTTTTGTTTAAAATGTGTTTGAAATTAAAATTAGATTATAACATAAAACCTAAACTCAAAATCCAGTTGGGTTTTGTTGTTGGTCTTTCAATCTTTTTTTAAACTGTTCGTCTTTTTGTTTATGCCGAGATATGAAGAGTTGAAATCCATCTTTAAAGATACACTTTGAGCAATCTGTTTAAACAACCATCTAAACCAGATCAGAACCAGTACCAGTGGATTAATTACAGGTTTTGTTCTCATGTCAGATTCATCTGAACCAGTGTGAAGCCTAAAACCATGTGATCGGTGCTTCAGTTAATCCTCGCAGCGTGACTCGGATCAAAGGAACTTTAACTACGGAGCCACCCAAGTGCCAACTGTACCCAAAAAAGCTGCATAATCAAAGTTCATGCTCAATAATCCAGGAAAAAAAATCCAACAAAATTCAGTGAGGTCATCTGGACGGTTTCTTTTTTTGTTGAGACGTTTCATCCTTCGTCCAAAGGACTTCATCAAAGCAGTCGACAAAAGAAACCATCCAGATGACCTGAATGAAATTTGTTGGATTTTTTTTACCTGGATTATTTAGAATGAACTTTGATGCTTTGAACCACTTTGGCTATGGCTGCCTCAGAGGAGTCGACAGGGGAGAGGGCGGGGCCCCACAAACCATCTTGTCACCAGTAAACTGGTTGGTCCACTATGTGCGTGTGCTGCTTGTGGGACTGAGTTCAATGTTTTCCCTACCATAAAATAAGCGGGATGCCCCGCCCCGTTAACAGAACCGAGTGCCCCGCATGCCGAACCGAACTACTCCTACAACCCCCCCCCCCCCCCCCCCC